CTGAAATAATTATCCCTTAACTTTACTTCTCCTACAATCATCTATATCCATTAAAAGTGCAGATATAATAATTTTATTTCCAAAATAACTTTCTAAGATAAAATTCCTTAATTTTAATATTTCTCCCCAATTAACTTTTAATCAAGTACTCTTCCATGAAATTCATAAACTCTACTTAATGACGTTTAATTAAAGCCACAAATATAAATAATAAATAAATCTTTACCTACAACTCCGCTGAAGTTACTTTTCGTAAATTTTCCATTCAAGGCCCATCTTCCAATCCGAGATTTCTAAGCCTTCAACTCATAATTAATTAAACCTACTATTAATATTTTCATACACATATGTATTAAATTCATTTATTGAAATAAATAAACCCTACTCTAATTTTAATAAACCCTTCGGTCACAGCTCCAGCATACATGAGCCACTCGGTTCGTCTTTGCTTCTCCTGCTTTTGCTTCACACAAGACAAAATGCAAGAAAGTCTCGCTTCTGCTTACACTTTCCCATTTTTCTTTGCTCAACAAGGGACAAATGACTTTAACCTCTCATGCACACTAGGGCTTCCTCTCCTCTCTTCCTTTGTGCATAGGACGCACCTAAGATCTTTTCCTTCTCCACCTTTCAGCAGAATACGTGTGCAGCTCACCTCCAAGGTATGACATGCTTCTTCCTCCTCCCTGGGCTACTCAGCAAAGGTTTCCTCCTCGACTTCACTCAAGAGCCTCCTTCGCTTCTTCCTCTTCTTCCTACTCTGTCCTTGCTCTGTTAGGGCACGACTCCTTCACTGTCATTTCTTCCTTCTCCCTTCTTCACAGACTCCCACTCTCGCTCTCTCAATTTTTTTTGGTTCGAATGGGGACAAACGACAATTAAGCCTAACTGTAGAGACACTTATCCCACACTGTCGATTCAATTATTATTTTTTTTTATTTTATTATTATTACTAAAAATTTTAGTTATCACAGGAGACTTGAAAATGAAATTTATAGACCATAAATTATCAATTAATTTGGATCAGTTTTTCACAACTTTATTTTTTAGACAATTTTCATAGATTTGTTAGACTACGATTTTCTTTTTCATAACCAGATCCATTATACTATGATGCTGTAAGAGACTCGCTAATTTTTTTTAAAGGAAACAAAGTCGATAACACCCAATTTTTAAAAAAATTATTTTTCTTATAACAATTTTACAACTATTTTTCAAGTAATTGAAGCCATCCTAAATGGTCCATATAACAAATGATGCAAGGATTAAGCATTAGGAAATGAAAAAAATCATTGATCTCCAATTTGAGCATAGAATAATGAAAATGCTAAGATAGATATGTCATAAAACTAAGAAGAAATATATGAACGCTTATAATGGAAGAACTATAGGAGTGCATTTATTGAAGATAAGATAATCTAAATTAGACTTAGGTTGTTGGAGAATTAGAAAGGAGGGGCGCACTTAAGATAACATTAATAGAAATTATTCAAAATGATTTGTGAAGAATAATTAAAAACACTTCAAACAACATTTCATAAGAACAAATCAGAAGTGAAGAGCATAAAATTGGTCCCAAATAATTAAGATGAGGCACATGATGATGATAAATGCAATGCTACAAATGGTTTACCAAAATTTGTCTAAAAAATATTTTGATTTATACTATCTAGCCATCGTAGTGGTGTGTCTTATGTCCTCCTTTGTACAGATGCAAATAATCAAGCCAATTTCAACAACCTTAGCATCAAAAGAAGCTACTCTGAATATTTAATAGCTTCATTATGCATACTATCCTTTGGCTAATCAAGCTTGCATCAAAGCATTCTTATTTCTACCACAATCAACTAGCCATTCAAGTCCCTTTTTACTACCAAACTCATGGACCCAAATAGCAAGTAGCTGTTTTATAAATTCATTAGTTTTCTTAAACTCTCCTTGGTATCCTTTAATTTCAAGTATTCTTTTGGCACAAGGCTTTAATTTTAGATTTCACGTCATCATCCATATACCAATTTTTTTTTTGATATTAATGATTCTTAAATACATTACATCTAAGCATCACCTAAGTTTCCAATTTTAGGAAAAAAGTTATAAATCTCATCTAGTTATCACCTCTTCATTAAAGTTCAGTGCTTTTTTCACTAGCTTCACTAGCTCTAAGGGTCTGTTTGGGGCAGCTGTTGATTATTTATAATCTGGTGATAAACAGATTATAATCTGTTGATTATTTATAATCTGGTGATAAACAGATTATTCTGATAATATGATAATCTGCAGATTATTAGAATAAGTCGGCTTGCTGTTTGGGGCAACTTATTCAAAATAGCTTATTGGTAGTTATTATTGTATAAATGACATTTCTGACCCTGTTTGGTAAAATTGTTTGCAACAGAGCTAAAATGAGAATAGAAACATATAGTACATAAGCATATAGTGCAGAAGCATGAAATCATCACAGATCAGTTCCAAAAGATGCATAAAGTTCTCACACTCTCGTGAGTATCAGAAAAAATAAGAAAATGATAAAGACAAGTACAACTATAATAAGAAATATTAAAATATTTAATTTTAAACTCTGACTACGTCTGTCCTCAACTACACTATCAACTAAGGAAAACATTAGATCATTGTTAGCCTAATGAATCTTGTTAAAATGATTTTCTAAATTCTTAATGATATAAGTAGGCATTTTCATCATTTGTAAAGTGTATAAAGGAATAGAGGTCAGAATACTCTTTAGAAGAGTAATTTTACCACTAAAGGAGAGGAAATAATTATCACAAGAAAGAATCTTCTCATTGAATTTATCTAGCAACTTTTAGAAAAGATGGTTCCTTCTTTTACCTTTGCCAAGATAAAAACCCAAAAGAATATGGGGAGGACATCTTTAACACAATGACTAGAATCATGAACCCAATTTTTCAGTCTTTCTTATCCAAGTCAAGTAAAGCAAATGAAAGGGAAAAGTAAAGCCTTTTAACTATACATTGTCATCCCAGGTAAGCCTTGAGAAGCCACAAAAAAAAAGCTTGTGAAGGTTTAGAAGTACTAGATAACTTTTTCGAAGAAGCGTAATGAAACAGAGCATATAAGCATATGCACCTATATGTAAATGTCCAAAATCTTCAGCTTTTTTTTCCACTGTTGATGAGAAAAAATATAACAGGTGAAGTGTGATAAAAAAATTGATGAGCAGTAGGCCTTCCAAAATCCCCAACTAATGTTTCAGATCTACGATCCAAACCAGCAGAAGAAAGACTATAACAAACCACCCATTCGAAAAATCATATCTAGCATCCAACATTCCATCAAAACTACATCCAACCTTCGAAAAAAACTAACCTCATTTGAGGCGAGAAGAAATAGGGTTTCCTAATACCTTCAAGATCATGGAGGGCCAGGGCGAGGGAGAGCATAGGGTCGAATGTTAACTCAGGTTTCGACCTCCGCGAGGACGAACAATTTCGACCTCCGCGAGGATGAACAAGATCGGGGAGGGCTAGGGCGAGGGAGAGCATAGGGTCGAATGTTAACTCAGGTTTCGACCTCCGCGAGGACGAACAAGATCGGGGAGGGCTAGGGCGAGGGGGAGCACAGAGGGCACGGGATGAATTCTTCACCCAAACGCACGAAGCAGACACTAGACGCGGCCCCCTCTCCGCTTATCAACCTATTAACAAAAATGTAGAAGCGCGTCTGAACGGCAGGATTACACAGCGCCGAACGCCTTTTTCAAACACCCATGTGGCGTTTTCATACCGCCACCACAACCAATAAGCTGCCCCAAACAGGCCCTCAACCTCCTAACTTATATAAATTTAGTCCATTATTCTAATTCTTCAAATTTTGAAGCGGTGTCAACTAAAAGAACTATGATATGTACAAACAACAAAGTATTTCACTTTGAATATTTTTAACATGCACTTCCATAACCAATATAAGAAAATGCAAATGTAAGAATGATCCAAGAATCTATTGTGATTCAAAACCCTTTAATTATTCCACAAATACTTCTGATGTTTGCCACTACTTCATAGATATTTTAACAAATGTCAATATGATTTTAACACATCTTTTCTCTTTAATACCACCAAATTTATCCTCAAAATACACAATCTCATCATCCAGTAAGATCATAAAAATAATAGGTTGAAGTTCTAATTGTTGTTCTATGAACTATTCCTTTAGTTAACTAATCAGAAAATAAACGTAAAAGAAGTTGAATTTCTAAATTAACGAAAAGCACTATTTTATTAACCTCTTGCATCAGTTCATTATAAATTCATACGTATGACTACTTAAACTAAACAATCTCATTGGTCCTTAAAACTGCAACTAAATAGTTGTTCCATTTTTTATTTCATGTCATGTACGCTTATTTTTTAAGAAATCATAAATAAGCCATCATACTACTCCAATATCTCTGACCAAAAACTTTATCCTTATGCATATTCATAAATTCACTTTTTTAGGATGACTTTGTAGTATACACATAAATATTATTTGATTTTTAAGATTTTGAACAAAAGTCCATCTAATAAATTTCATTTTTGTAGTTCTGAAATATAGAATTTCTATCTTTATTTGATATCATTTTAAGTATGACCCCCTATTAACTTCACACTTGAGACATCTGAATTCATAAAATTTCAAAATCTTACTTTTCCTAGCTTAGTCATATTTATTAAGAAAGGCAAATTTGTATTATCATCATTAGCCTTGTCCCAACTACTTGAGGTTAGTGCATAAGAGCAATTTCATGTATTTGCATATTTATTAAATCATTTTCCTACTTGTTAGTACCCAGCGAATCATACAAACAATAAAAAACTGTAATTTTTTCTTTGCAAATTATCCTTTGTAAATCTTTTTTATCACAGAGTGTTTGCATGATTCAATAGTGTTTTATTTTCCCACTTCAAAAGCAAAATTTTTCAACTTTCAACAGTTTATCAACTCAGAAAACAATAGGAAATAATACTAAGAGAGAAACTTACAAGCTGAATATTGATGAAATCTTCTGTGTCATCAATATACTCTTTCAGCTGAAAAAAAAAAAAAAGGAACAATCTTTTCGTTAGAGAACTTCATGGTAAAAAAATAACTGGCTAATAAGTAAGAGAAACTTACAGAAGTAAGCTTATTTAGTGTGTTGTCAATAACGACAAAATAAGCCTCCAACAACATTTCTAACCCCTCTATATTCTCTTTTTCGCTTTCAGAGCTCTTCATACTATCATGCCTGCTACGAGAAAGGCTTACTGCCTTCTCAAGTTTCCGCGAATTAGTTGGAGAAGAAACAGGAGAAACTGGAGCAGAAACCGATAGGCCGGCACCAGTAGAACTGTATCCAAGTAAAGACTGATCACCAAAGAAAGAGGCTTCCAATCGACTTTTCTTCTCTGTAAGATACATTTCAGCCATATCACCATCATCATCCATTAGCTGCTCTATCTCATCCCTAACCTACACTAGCAAAATATTGATATAATTAAAGTCGGAAAAATTTATCAGTAAACAAGCAATCAACCAGTTGCATGAATGTTACTGTACCTTCTGAACTCTCCTAGTTAATGCAACAAGTCTGCTTTTGAGACGGCGTACTCTCTCCAAGTTGAGAGTACTGATCTTTGATGTTAACTCATCTAACAAAGGGTATGCTTCAGTTTCAAGTTCACCAGCCTGAATGAGAAAACAGATGGGATATCAGTTAAGTTCTTGCCTATACACAACATTAAGAGCAGGTTTAAGATTATTATTATTATTATTATTATTTTGCTTTTTTTAAAAAAAAAATTCTTGTTTAGTGTAGTATTTATAGGTTTTTATTCTGGGAAATTTAGTTACATAACACACAATTCTTATGTTTGCATATCTAACACCTAAACTTTCATATTTACATATAGGGGCATTTACATCCAAACCACAGAATTTTCAAGTATTTACACATCTAACAGCTAAACTTTAATCTTTACATTTATACCGCTATTTGTTTCTCAATAGATCAAAAATACCATCATTTTAACTTAAAAAAAGTGAAATACACCTTTTCTTGCATAGGTAAGGTGGCATGTAGGTAAAAATTAAAGTTTAGGTGTTAGATATGTACATATGAACTGCGTGGTGTGTATGTAAATCTACCTTATATTTATAACACCTTTTTGTCATAAACCTTATCATGAAAATGTGTAATTTACTTTAAAGTAATAGTGGTATTTTTTATGCGATATTAAAGATTTGAGCACTATGGATGTAAATATGAAAGTTTTGCTGTCAGATATGTAAATACATAAGAATTGTGTGGTATGCATATGTATGCTTTTATTTTTTTCTTTTAAAAAAATCAATTTTTTTTTAAAATACTCAAATAATTTCTAGATACCTAAAGTGTTTTAAAATAACTAAACACATGTTTAACATGCCAAATAAGTTTAGTTTGAAATCAAAATATAAACAAAATAAAATAGAATTAAAAAAAATGAAGAAGCAATAGCATCATAACATCAAAAATAGTGATACTATCAGCAAGAATTAAATGAATTTCATTAAACATGGAATTGAAAACAAAGGCTGATCTTCAAAAACATGCTGTGTGAAAAGTGAAACAAAAAGACAAGCAAGCAGATGTTCAACTACATGCATGAAAGGATCAAATAGAGACACCATTGCACTTCCTTGAGTTCCCCACCTTCAAAGAGCAGGAGTTACAAGTATTGTTTTGAGTCAGCAAATAATATGAGAGGCGACCCAATTATCTACAACTTCGGGGCCTTTTGGGATCATTTTTGTTTTTCATTTATTATTATTATTATTATTATTTTGTTTCAATTTTGATTTGAAACAAAGTTTGCCTATTTCATTAAAGTATGGTTGTTATAAAAAAAACATTCGAAACACATAAAAGTTGTTTTGAATGTTTTCAAAAACATTTTAATTTTAATTTATTTTTAAAAATATTCAAAACACAACAAACAAACATGTTTTTAAAACTAAAAGAAGGAAATAAAATTGATCCCACAAACCCTTCATAAAATGTAATTTCTTGTTGCTAGCGCTTCTTTAAGTGTTTCTCCTAGATTATTCAAAGATATTGTTAAATAAAAAAGCATATTAACGATTAGTCCAGTAAAAAATTTCATACCAAATTCAAATGAATTCTCCCTAAGAAAAAACGTAACAATTTTTGTGATGGAGATTTGCGAGTTTATGCTCGTCAAATATGCCAATCAATGTTGATGTGAGCAACTTTATTTTAGTTTACTTCGTGATTTTTTATTTTAGGATTTTAGACATGCTTATAATGCATTTTCTACAAGGAAGAGATGTGTTTAGGATTGCTCAATTCACAAAGTTTAATTAGTGTAATTTGAATTTACTCATACAGATGGAAGTGTTGGGGAAAATGTATTGAATGGAATTTGGAATAATTTCTTCCGATTATCCATACTTGCAGAGAAGAACATGTGCTGATTTGCAGCTCGGGACATCCAATTTCTACTCTCCAATCATGGGTAATTCTAAAGGTTGTCCGTAGGTAATTTCCAAATTCTTTGGTCAAGGGATTTACAAGACAATCTGATTAACTGATTTCTACGATGTTTTGAGCATTTATTCAATATAGATTAGAAAGGAAACCAAAACTTGTATTTATCTAAACAAGCAACCTCATGAGCCAAGTAAAGTCTATAAATACTTAATTTAAAGCATGTATGAAATTTAGGCTTGAATAAAATGTCGTTTCCTAGTTCAATTTCTATTACGAGTTAAATGTATGATTCCTTCGAGAATGATAAAACAACCTAAATTCTAGGGAAGTTCTCTCCTTATGTTGATGGATTTGATTTTCTTGCAGTTATTTCATCTCAACTTCTATTTAATATATAGAACTTGATATTAACTTGTTTAGTGCTCTTGATTTTGATCACAAATTGACAAGGAAATATAATAAATGAAAATCAAATTCCATTGTTCAATGTTTTTATGTGGTTCAAAATGTTTGCCAAGTTCATCAAACTATTTTGTTCATTTCAACGTCAATTAAATTAAAATTCTAGAATAATATGTTCATAATTAAAGAAAGAAAATGATTGAATTACTTAGGGAATTGTGGTCAGTGAATTATTAATTTCCTTCGCATGTATTCATATTTCATATTATGTATCATATTAGTTGCATTAAAAAACCGTACCCTAAGTTGTCCAACATCAACTTGATATCTAAGCTTATGGTTTTAATAATGTGGTTTATAAAGAAGAATTATTAATTGGGTAGAGAAAAGAAAAAAATTAGTGAATAATGTCAAATTAAATAGGATAGGATAATTTATGGTTACAGTTAATAATAATATAATTATCATAAAATTCAAAATTACACTTCTTGCATTTGATGGAAGATATAATTTTAAAAAATATCAGTATAAATTAGTAACTTGGAAGAGTTCTTTAAAGGGCTATTTAAAACAAAATTAGTGAGACATACACAATTATTTTGGTATTATAAGAGTTGGAGATAGAATATAGCCCATAAGATTATCATTGATACTAAGATTTTTAATATTATAAGTGCTTATGCTCCTCAAGTAGGTTTAGATACAGGGTCTAAGGATAAATTTTGGAATGACTTAGAAAACTTAATACAAATGATACCTCTTGAAGAAAAAATTTTTATTGGAGGAGATTTAAATGGACATGTCGGTAGAGTGGTAGAAGACTTTAGAAATACTCATGGTTGCTACGGTTTTGGAGTAACTAATGAAAAAGGTAGAGTTATTTTAGATTTTGCTTTAGCGTATGATTTTGTCATTACTAATACTTTATTCAAGAAAATAGATGAGCATCTTATTACTTATAATACTAGATCTAATAAAACACAAATTGATTATTTTTTATGAGAAGAAGAGATCGTCACGATTGTAAAGATTGTAAGGTCATCCCAAGTGAAAATTTAAATACCCAATATCTTTTATTAGTTCTAGATTTTAAGATTAAGAGTTGTAAAATAAAGAATACTAGGACTCAACATCGTAAAATTAGATGAACAAACTTAAAAGACACAAATAAAATTATTTTAATAAGTAAAATTTAAGATTTCAAAATTTAGGATATTCATGAAGAAGTAAATGTTATGTGGGATAAAATAACAAACAATATTAAACAAGTAGCAAAAAATGTGCTTGGAGGATCAAAAGAAAAAAAAATTGTATTAATACAAAATTGATTATGGTGGAATAATAAATGTGCAAGAAAAAAATAAGAAAAAAAAATTGTTATAAAAATTGGTTTAATTATAAAATCTTAGCTAATTAAAAAAAATATAAGGTTGCCAATTTGTGATGTAAAGTATTCAATTTTTAGTAGTTTTATAATTAATTATATACTCAAGTGGGTGAAAGATATATGTATAAACTAGCCAAAGAATATATAATAGAAGCAAGGATGAAAAACTATAAAGTTTTTTTCTTTGATGAGGATATTCTACATCGGCGAGTGAGATATTTTGATAAAGTTTTTACTTAATATTTTGAAAATATGATCAACTCTATTGATCTTAATATCATTAATAATAATATTTTTATTTTTAAGTTTTGCATTAGTAAAATAGAAGTTGAGAAGGCTTTAAAGAAAATGAAAGGTGAAAAATCAATAAGACCTGATGGTATCCCAAGGGAAGTGTGGAAATATTTATGAGATTTGAGAAATTTTTAGCTTACTAAACCATTTAATATTTTTTAAAAAACTAAAAAAAATGTTTAAGAAGTGGAGGAAGAGTATTTTGATCCCTATTTTTAAGAATAAAGGGGGTGCACAATATTGTGCAAATTATAGATGAATTAAGTTAATGTGTCGTGATACAAAGCTTTCTCAAAATCAATTCTGATTTATGTCGGGCAAGTCTACGATGGAAGTTATATATTTATTGAGAGGTTTAATGGAGGAGTAAAGAATGATTTTTGTTGATTTTAGAAAAGCTTATGATAAGGTTCCAAGAAAAGTTATATGGAGATTTCTAGAAAAGAATGGTGTTGATATTACTTATATTTAAGTTATTCAGGATATGTATGCTAGAGTTGTTACTTACATTCAAACATAAGGAAGATTGACTAAGTATTTTTCTATTTTAGTTTGATTACATCAAGGATTGACTTTAAGCACATATCTTTTTTGCTTTAGTTATGGATGCTCTTACTGGACATTTACAGAAGGATGTATCTAAGTGTATGCTTTTCACTGATAATATCCTTTTTGTAGATATGACTAGAGAAAGAGTTTAGGAAAAATTTGAATTTTGGAGTTCTAATTTACGAATTCAAGGCCTTTGTTTGAGTAGATCTAAAATTAAATACATGGAATGCAATTTTATCAGTAATAGATCTAGTGGCAGAGTTGCAACAATGAGTGATCAAATCATTAAAAGAAGTGAATGTTTTAGATATCTCATGTATATTGTTCAAAGTGATGGTGATATAGATGAGATTGTTATTAGTATAATTCAAGTTTGATGGTTGACGTGGAGGAATGTATCATGCCTATTGTGTGATAAAAAAGTACCGCTTAGACCTAAAGGAAAATTTTATAGACTGAAAGGAAAATTTTATAAGACGGTGGTGAGACCTGCAATGCTCTATGGCGCTGAATGTTGGCCTTTAAAAGAGAAGCATAATAATAAGTTAAGTGTTGTCGAGA